TCCCTATTTTTCAGAAGTCCTGCTTGTTCTCCTCAATGAGATATTTCCATGCCTTCATTTACCTAAGCAAGAAACCTAAGAAAATAAACCCCAACATGTCTAAATGTAGCAGTGAAAAACACAGGGACACCACAATAAAAAGAAGTGACACAGCAGAGGATGAAATAGTGTGGCCGCTGTACCACATCCATCTGTGCACCAAGGCATTATCAGGCACCCACTGTGAAACGCAGGAGCATGAAACGCCTTTCCATAAAGAGCGTGCCAGCCCCAAAACACACTTAATGAAGTTCACTAACATTTTACTGCTTCTCCATTCAAGTAAACAGAGTTCCCAGTAGTTACTTAATACTGCCTGATATACAATATACATTACTGCTGAGGTAAGGTTGCAAACTCCTGGAGGCAAGCTTAGTGTTCCTGCAAATCCTCTGCAGAGAAGGATACCACTGAGACCAATGCTCAGCTCCCGCTAAAGGGAATTGTAAATAATAAAACAGAAAACTCTTCTAACATGCCAAGGATTTCACAATACTTCTTTTTCTTGCTTTACAAAGCAAGCTTTCTAAAAATCCTGAAATCCATTTTGGTGTCCAAAATGGTAAGACATACTAATAGTTAATCAATTTAAAAATAAAAGTGAGGGACCCATTTCCTTTTCCTCAGTGATCTTTATTTAATAGCTGTGCTTTGGGATGATTTTACTGTACTGGAACAGAGTCATTCATGTTTCCATTTAGGTCACAGCTTTCTGCAGATCTGTTAAGCACAAGGAGGTATAGGATAAAACAAATCCTCCAAGGAAGATACAACTCCAACTGCTTCTTCAGGATGTCCTGGTTTCGGCAGGGATAGAGTTAATTTCCTTCGTAGTAGGAAGAAAAGAACTGGATAAAGTGTAGGAAACTCCCTCCTCCATAATATCATAGAAAATCCTGTGTCTGTCTAAAATGCTCTCAATTAAATACAGTATTTGTAAAAAAACTTCACAATACTTAAAGATAATGTCCCAGCACAGAAGTAAGCCACTGTAGAACAATTACAAGGATAATTTATTTTTCATAGTGTGGCCTATACGAAATGTAACACAGATATCTGTGAAACCTTCTGTAGATCTGTTTTTGGTGTTAATGCAGCACAATTACTGATGCTATCAGAGATGGAAGCACAGCTGAGGAACAAACCCAGTACACTCTGCGATGGCAATGAAAAGCATCTGTGGAAACCAGCAGCAGCACTGCCCTTTCAGGGTCTCATTTTTTTCCCCATTAACTCTGCCAAAAGGCAATTTCTCGAATGAATTATCCCACAAAGGATGCACCTTGTTTCCTACTGCCCATCTGACTGAAGAACAGCCTGGATTTCTGCAGCCTCCACTAAAGTAAGTTCCTTGCTTGTATCTCGAGGAGAGAGTGTAATACTGTGTCTCTCCCATCTTCCTGCAAAGCAAAACCACAGTAACAGCAAAACTACCCATCTACTGCTCTAACTTGTTTTCCACAGGTATGCTTTCACTCAGTGTATTTACTTTGTTGATTGTGTCCTTTCCCTATCCAGCCCTTCTTATCCCTATTGCCTGTGTCATCCCCCACCCCCCACATTTATACTGACCACCCTGACCAACTTTAACTACTGTCAACAAATAAATAACAGCTTTGCACTGGTAAGGTGGTTTCTGCCCTTCCCTTCTCAGCTGCCTCCTTTTCCAAATGTTACTCCAGCAGTGGAGCACAACAGCGAAGAGCTCCTCATCTCTGTCCTCCCCTGCACTTTCATGTATTGGGTTACTTTTATTCAAGGACTGTTCCACTGCATTTCTGTAAAGGAAAGTTTCTGATGTAAACAGCAGCACATCAACAAAAGACTCGGATCTTGTATAAATTAATAAGTAATGTAGGTTATGTCTCATACATTAAGTGCTGCTTTCTCTTGTGGATGTTACGCATGAAAACACAGTGAAGTTGAGTGGCTTTGGCACTCGGGCTACAAACGCAAGTACATTTTTTAAGAGAGATCCCTGTTGGGGTGCACTGAACTACATATTATGCTGCATTAAATCTTCTGCAGGGTTAGCTTCGACTTTATGTTCCTGCGCTGTTCCACACCACAGGGCACCTGCATCCTTTTACTACACTAAGAAGTCTCAATCTTTTTCAAATTTTAACTATCCATGCACAAGGCTTGCACCACAGTCACCTTTCTTCCTCACTGATTACTGCTACATGACACGAGGGATGCCTCCTGATAGAGAGAGAGCTCCTTTCTTTTTCTCCTGCCAGTTGGCAGACCGGCAGGCACAAGCCGTACCCGCAAGCGTCACCACACTCTTCTTTCAATGGACCCATACATAACACTGAACAGATCCAAATCCTGCAGACAGACGTATCATCTCTGAATTGGATGGCAATCCAAAGAGAGGGTTTGGGTTTCAGCGCTGTCTTCCTTATTTTCATTTACTGGACTAGGCTAATCAGTCTGCTTTATTAGTGCCCAAGGCTGGGGTGTGAACAAATGGCTACCAGCTGAAGCCCAGCCTAGGTAAAACACCTATTAGGCAGGTTTGTGAAAATAAGCAGAAGTGACAACCGATACCACTATGTTGATTTATTGGCTTTTGAGTACCAAAATAAGTGACTCTGGTGTCCTGTTAGCTCCCTAGCTGTGCTAAGCTTTCAGACCACAGAAAAGCAGCTAGGAGTGTTCCTCCCCTACAACCTTCTGACAGCAATAAACTATCCAGTTACAACTGTATTTTTGCTTTCATAAGGACCCATAAGGAGATCTGCCATTGCCAGCCAGGATTCCTGAATTGCACTTTACTGGCACTTGCGTACCCAAAGGATGTGAATTTTTAGCTGGTGCAGTCCTGCAGGACTTGCTGCAGGAAACCTCTTCTAACACAGTGAGCATGCTTTCATCTGTAAAGGCATCGCTCATCTACAACTTCTTTCTTGGTCTGGTTTTGTACACTGCAGAGGCTGTTGCTCTTCC